GCCGCACACTACCTTGTCTGGCGCCTACTACCATACGAGATATCCATAAGTTAGTATGGCTGTCTTGAATCCGGTTTGAATCCCCCGTTCATTCCTATGGAGTTAGACATCTGTTAGCGCGCTCCATTACATTACCTCTCCACATTGTCTCGAGATATTTAGTTTCTAGTGAGAGATCTAAGGTCACTTCAGAAATTGGAATCTTACGATTCATCGTGTAGAGTACCATTTCTGTATTCGTGGGCTTGACACCTACTTTACTTTATGTCGGATATGCTCGACAAGTATTTGTCAGAGCTATTATTTTAGGGTGATCAAACTTTGCCAGGATCTTATATATAACTAGGAGCCATACGGAAAATTATGATCTTACGTAAGAGTACCAATTATGTCTTCGTTGAGTTGACCGTATATGAACTTCAAGTATTTGCCACAGATCTACAGGACCTTTTTATCAATTCATCAATCCATTATATTAGAATTGATGAGGTACCTGTATATTCGAGTGCGGAATGGGTATATTCCTGCTTTACATTGTTGAAGACTTCAATCGCACTTTTTCACTGAAGTTCCACTTCGATCAACTACAGTCACATACCAGACAATTACATTATCTTCCCCTAAGAAAACCATTAAGGGAACCCCACCCCCCCCCCCCCCCCCCCATTCTCGATTTTATTTTTTCAAGATTTTCAATGGGCTGGTAAATCTATACCAATGCTTGTTAAGGTTTGTAACTTGGCACATATATAATTGAAGATTTAAAAGAGAAGAAAAATAATTTACAAAAAAATTTTGTTATTGTTTTGTTGTTGTTTTTTGTAATTAAAGAAAAATCCTTATTTTTTATGGCGGGCATGAAAACTCCTCACTGGAACATCGGAATCCGAAAATTCCAAAGGTGTTAGAAATAGTACATGTCTGCCTCTCGTATGAACTAGGATTATTGACTTCGCTCTAAAATTAACAAAATAGTGGACCTTTGAAAAAATATTTTTGGAAAATCGCCGATTTTTTACCAAAAACCAAGTTAAAAAATAAGGAAGATCTTCACCGATTGGCTTTATCCTAGTTCATACGAGAGCTATACACTCCCAGAGAAACGTTGCAAAATTTGGAACCGATTGGATTATTAGTTTTTGAGTTATCGTGCCCGCCATTCGCAAAAAAAGGTTTAGAGAAAAACGCGTTTAAAGTTTGAGAAGCCCTTCAGCCGTCACTTGATGCGGACACAATAAATCGGATATATCTTCAAGAGTTCTTGAGATTTTCACTTGAAATTTTGTAGAGACATTCTTTAATCAGTGTAGATTCGAATTATATCAACAAAAATTTTGACCCCGAGAATGGGGGGGGGTCCCCTTAAATGTCTTATTAACCAGTATCTGATCCCCTGTCTCTCTCCTTCCATTTCTCTCTTTCTCTCTCTCTAGAGACTGATATGTCTACATTACTTAGCATAATTTCAAATTAAAGCCAACATAATTTCACAATTTTGAAATTTTTTGTTTCCCGTTTATGCTACTCTGCTGGTTATCACACTTGCAGTATAAAATACATAAATTCTTAGAATGCCCTCTGCATGAATACGAAATTTCAATATACACACATGCTCTCATTCTCTACGTGTGGTCATCCATTTCATTTTTCCCAAACTAATTTAGGGTCAATTTAAATCGTTTTGTATTGTCGCGGTGGACACCAACCACCGCATCAAATTAAATCAACATCGTTTTTCTTTTCACTTAATTTACTATGGACAAGCGTCTTAGTAGTTTTTAAATTGATACAAGTAAACAAATTATTGTCGTTGTTGTTGTTTTTCTTGGTTTGATATCAAGTACCCTATATTTTGTAGGGTAAATTTGTGATTGTCATAGAGTTTGGTATTTGTATGGTCCTAAAAGCATTATCTAATCGAAGTGAGTATATTTAGTATTGGGAATGAAGTAAATTGGCATTTCAGGGCAATGGTGGAAAAACTTCTTCACAATAAATCTCCCATACAAAGGTCACTTGGTATTTTCGGTATGTTCCAGGTCTCGATCGAATTTTTCAAACTGAGTGTCTGTAGTTTGTCATCTCGTTTTCTTCTGGCAAAAATATTCCATGGCATATTCCAAATCTAAAAGCCCCAATCCCTAAAAGTCAAGTCCCAAAGTCCCAAAAAGAACTAAACAAAATATTTACTTGTAGTTATTTTAAAGTTATTCGCAGAATTTTCCAACCGGAGTGGCAGTAATTTGGTATTCAAGTTTTGAAGGTTCAGAAAAATAATATCTTTATAGCTTACTTACTTAGTTGGCTTATGACAGAACGGTTGTAACATAAGCCGAGCTTAAAAAAGATTTCCTGGCGCGTCGGTCTTGTGCGAATCTCATACAATTTGAAAGCCCATTTTCCGAGATGTTGTCTTCTAAAGCCCATTTTCCGAGATGTTGTCTTCTACTTGATCTTTCCATCGGATTCGTGGCCTTCCCCTTCTGCCTGAACCATCACTTGGCTCGCTTTTATATGCCTTTTGAGCTGACGCACTTCATCCATTCTCACAATATAGCCTAGCCAACGTAGTCGCTGCAGCTCGATACGTCTTACTATGTCGATGTCCGAGAATATATGGTATGGCTCATGGTTCGTTCGACGGCGATATTCACCTTTGACGCCCATATATCTTCCGGAAAATTTGTCTCTCAAACACTCCAAGAGCTGCCTCGTCTACTTGTGGAAGTACCCATGCTTCAGATTCATACAACAGCACGGGTAATATCAGCGTCTTGTAGAGTGTGAGTTTGGTCTGGTGAGAGGTGGCCTTGCTTTTGAATTGCAATCAACCTCATGCCGTTGTCTGATGTTTCTTCATGGAGGCTGCATTTTTCGACGGTGGGGCCAAAGATATTTTCCCTTCCGATTTTTGCATTAAAATCTCCTAGCAGAATTTTAATGTCATGGCCAGGGCAATGGTCATATGCTGTTTCTAGTCGCTCGCAAAATATGTCTTTGGTCTGTTCCTTTTTATCTTCGGTCTGGGCGCAAATGAGACTGATGTAGAAGAACTTCGCGTTTATACGGATTATAGCAATTTGCTCATCTACTGGAGTAAATCTGGAGACGAGGTCTTTTATTCTCCGGTTAAACATAAATGCGCAGCCAAATTCAAGTCTCGTTTCATGGAAGCTATAATACAGTGCGTAATCTTCTGATTTACTTACGATAGTCCCTTTCCATCGCATTTCATGTAAGGCAATAATATGGGCTTTGTACCTCTTGAATACATCCGCCAAAGAGAACACTGCGCCTGTTCTGTGCAACGTGCGCATATCGTGATCCTTTATACGTTTGCGGGGGTCGTCAACATTAGGTGGGTTTGGTTTTCTTTTTCTTTGCTTTTTCATAGTAGGTTCAATTTTCCGAGTGTGGGCAACTAACCCGAGGCCTCAACCCATTTTTTTATAGTTCTTATGGGTGAACTCGTGGCACATATTATCTCACTATTTCATCCGGTGATGAAAATAGCTACCCCAGGTAGCACCACGGTGAGGTCAGTCCACAATTGAGATGAAAGTGGGACCAAGAGAAGCCTTCGCCATGCAAAAGGCTAAAAAAAAAAATATTTACTTGTCATTATTTTAAAGGCATTCGCCACATTTTTCAACCGAAGTGCCAGTAATTTGGTTTTCAAGTTTAATATTTATAAATCGATTTCGATATAAGTTCATGTTTTGACACAGCCTCCATACAATGGCCCCTATTTAAAGGCAGTCCGCCTAATGTTCGGTATTTTAAACGGTATGTTCGGTATTTTGTCTCTAACCACTTCTTTAAAGAAAATTTATAATAATATGAACCTATGATTTTACAAAATGTTATTTCGGTTGCTCTAAAGAACCGCTTATTGCTCTAATGAAGCTTTAAAAAAATCTTCTTAAAAAATCCACTCCCAATGGTCTGATAGTACTTGAAAAAATATTCTTTAAAAAAAAACACGCTTATTGGCCTGATAATCCTTGAAATATATTATTTAAAGAATCCACGCTTATTGGCCTGATAGTCATTGAAAAATATTATTTAAAAAATCCAAGCCTAATCGTCTGATAGTACTTAAAAAAATATTATTTAAAAAATCCACGCCTAATGGTCTGATATTACTTGAAAGGACATTCTTTAAAAAATCCACCCTAATTGGTCTGATACCTTCAAAATTATTCTTTAAAAAATGAAAAAAAGTCCACGCTTATTGGTGTGATAGTCCTTGAACAATATTTTTAAATAATCCACGCCTTTTTGGTCTGCTGGTCCTTGAAAAAATATTTTTAAAAAATCCACGTTTATTGTTTTACTGATCCTTGAAAAAATATTTTTTAAAAAATCCACGCTTATTTGTCCTTAAAAACTATTTTTAAGAAATCAACTCTTATTGGCCTGATAGTCATTGAAAAAATATTTTTAATTTTTAAATATTTTTAAAAAATAGACGCCTTGTTATTTAAAAAAATATTTTTTAAAACTCCACGCCTTAGTTTGACTTTTAAAAAATATTCTTTTAAAAATTCTCGCCTTGATCTGGTCCTTGTAAAAATATTCTTTAAAAATAATCTAATTTATAAATGTAGTATGGATATAATTCGTTTTGATCTAATCCCTTCTTCATTTGTCTTCATAATCACATTTCTGGTGCATTGTACGACATTATAATACATCTCTGTATACATACACCTACATATTTATGTATGTTTGCCTGATCAGTCTGTATACCGGCACACACATAATGTTTAATGGAGATAGATATGACTAATGGCCTTTTAAGTTTGAAGAATTGCCATGGAGGCCGAACGACAACGATCATTTTCTGTCAAGACATCAAAGTGAAAAGACATCGAAAAAATTTACAAAAGCGGTTTGGAAAATTCCATAATACAAAATTTCAAAAAAACTAAAAATTTTTGAGAAGTGCTTATTGAAAAGAATATTTAAAAAACTTATATTGCTTAAAAATGCAAACAATGAAAAGTTGTATCTGTTTATTATTGATAACTTTATCACTCCTAACGGTGTGTGAAGCTCGTGGTGGTAGGCGTGGCGGTTCGATGGGTGGCATGTTTGGTAGTTGGCGTAAATATAAGAAACCCTCCTCCTCGAGTAGTGTATCATCGAGACGTATAGTTAGCAGTTCACCGGTTCACACACCCATCACAAAAGCCCTTAATGAAAAGAAGGCAACCGGTGGTGATAAATTTATCAAAAATGGAAAGACCTATGGTAGTGCTAAATATAATACACCACCACTGCCGCCAGGTGGTTCGTATTATCAAAATACCGCTGCAATGCCGGCTAATGCTGTTTACATCGCCCAAGCACCGCCAAGGGGAGCAGGTAAATACAAATGAAACGAAATCGATTTGGTTAAAAAATACAATTTTGAATTAGAGGAATGTTTGGTATTTATTTTTGAATTATTTGATATAATAAACAAAATTACAAATTATTTCCGTTGACGATTTATTTAAAAAATTCGTGTGTATCATGAGCTCTGTATTACAATAGAATATAATATACAAAGCGATTACAAATTAAATTCAATTGTAAATACTTCAAGTTTATGTGTAGAGCATAATCGGACAGTGGCGTGGATTTTTTAAAGAATATTTTTTCAAGTACTATCAGACCAATAGGCGTGGATTCTTTAAAGAATATTTTTTCAAGTACTATCAGACCAATAGGCGTGGATTTTTTAAAGAATATTTTTTCAAGTACTATCAGACCAATAGGCGTGGATTTTTTAAAGAATATTTTTTCAAGTACTATCAGACCAATAGGCGTGGATTTTTTAAAGAATATTTTTTCAAGTACTATCAGACCAATAGGCGTGGATTTTTTAAAGAATATTTTTTCAAGTACTATCAGACCAATAGGCGTGCATTTTTTAAAGAATATTTTTTCAAGTACTATCAGACCAATAGGCGTGGATTTTTTAAAGAATATTTTTTCAAGTACTATCAGACCAATAGGCGTGGATTTTTTAAAGAATATTTTTTCAAGTACTATCAGACCAATAGGCGTGGATTTTTTAAAGAATATTTTTTCAAGTACTATCAGACCAATAGGCGTAGAATTTTTAAAGAATATTTTTCAAGGACATTCAGGCTTATATGCCTGGTTTTTAAACAATATTTTTTCAAGTACTATCAGACCAATTTTTTTAGGCGTGGATTTTTTAGAGAATATTTTTTCAAGTACTATCAGACCAATAGGCGTGGATTTTTTAAAGAATATTTTTTCAAGTACTATCAGACCAATAGGCGTGGATTTTTTAAAGAATATTTTTTCAAGTACTATCAGACCAATAGGCGTGGATTTTTTAAAGAATATTTTTTCAAGTACTATCAGACCAATAGGCGTGGATTTTTTAAAGAATATTTTTTCAAGTACTATCAGACCAATAGGCGTGGATTTTTTAAAGAATATTTTTTCAAGTACTATCAGACCAATAGGCGTGGATTTTTTAAAGAATATTTTTTCAAGTACTATCAGACCAATAGGCGTGGATTTTTTCAAGAATATTTAGCGGGTCAAATGGACCTTGACTTTTGTGTGAAAAATTACAAAATTTGTATTTTATAGCGTATATATTTACCCCTGAAGGACATAAACCTGAAAAGTTGATATTATATCCAAGAGGAGTGGTTGACCTTTAAATTAATACCAATTATATTGTTGTATGTGCTCGGAGGTGGGAGTTACACCTAAATATTTACAGGTATCTCCGTATTTGTATATTATTTAGTAACCTATTATCACTCTAGAGAGCGGAATTATAGCGCAGATCGCTTTGAAATGTTCCATGAGGTTCCAATTATGGTCAAGGACGACGCCTATAATTTTCGGTGATGATCAGATAATTATTTTGGAATGAAGTGGGCCGAAAACTTTTTTTGTGTTATTTTCGAGTCGATCTATAGACCACAAATGAAAGCCGAACATCACAACACAACCAACGGTGAAGGGAGTCTGGACAATAGCTGTACAGAATACTCGTAATATTCGGAAAATATGTCAGTGTGAGGAAGAGGTGCTGTTTACCTCTAATCGGGCAAGAGGGTGAAAATATCACGAAATATTTCCCAGGCTCGAAATAAACATCCGCAGAAAATTTGAGTTCCGTGGTAGTTGTGTAGGGTATCGTATGGTCGGCCCCGTCCGACTATACTCGTCCGCTCACTGATTTTATATTGGATTTATATTCGGCTGATCCATCGTTTAAAGTACTACCGAATAAATAATTATTCAAAAGGTAGTTGGCGCCTAAATGTATGCTTTAATAAATCGATTTTGAAATTAACATTTTTCCAACGACCCTCAAGGTGTGGATTTTTAGAAGAATATTTCTCCAACGACCCTAAAGGCGTGGATTTTTAAAAGAATATTTCTCCAACGACCCTCAAGGCGTTGATTTTTAAAAGAATATTTCTCCAATGACCCTCAAGGCGTGGATTTTTTAAATAATATTTCTTCAACGACCCTCAAGGAGTGAATCTTTAAAAGAATATTTTTCCAAGGACCAGACCAAGACACGGATCTTTAAAAGAATATTTTTCCAAGGACCAAAACAAGGCGCGGATCTTTAAAAGAATATTTTTCCAAGGACCAAAACAAGGCGTGGATTTTCCAGAGAATATTTTAAAAGAATATTTTCCAAGGACTAAAACAAGAAAATTTTTAATTAAACACATTTTTGATTAATTTTTTTGTATTATTTTCAGACCAATAGGCGTGGATTTTTTTAAGAATATTTTTTCAAGTACTATCAGACCAATAGGCGAGGATTTTTTAGAGAATATTTTTTCAAGTACTATCAGACCAATAGGCGTGGATTTTTTAAAGAATATTTTTTCAAGTACTATCAGACCAATGGGCGTGGATTTTTTAAATAGATTTTTTCAAGGACTATCTGGCCAATAGGCGTGGATTTTTTTAAGAATATTTTTTCAAGTACTATCAGACCAATAGGCGTGGATTTTTTAGAGAATATTTTTTCAAGTACTATCAGACCAATAGGCGTGGATTTTTTAAAGAATATTTTTTCAAGTACTATCAGACCAATAGGCGTGGATTTTTTTAAGAATATTTTTTCAAGTACTATCAGACCAATAGGCGTGGATTTTTTAGAGAATATTTTTTCAAGTACTATCAGACCAATAGGCGTGGATTTTTTAAAGAATATTTTTTCAACGACCAACAGACATATAAAGTTTTGTATTTTTTTCAGATTTTGGTGACTTCTTGACCGGTTACCTTACGGGCAGATTATTGACAATGGGCCTCTCGCCATACCCATATCATCATCACGTGACTCATGTCTATCACGACAATCCAAATCAAGCTGCTGCGAACAATGGCAATAACGACGGAAAAGTTATAATAATCAATAATGGACAAGATGTAGCTGCAGCATCAGCTCCAGCAACAACAACCTCTTCATCAACATCATCAAATAGTCCAGATTCGACAACAGAAATTCCCACCTCATCATCTCCATATGCTTTGGCCTACACCTCATCGACAGAAAATATTGCAGCTGCGATATCAACAACCCCACCACCGAATGGAATTATTTGTGTACCAATTAAAATGAAAGAGAAAAATTCTAACGGTGATCTGATCGAAGTTGATCGTATTGTCTGCTATCCGGCACCACCACCACCGGCTCAAATACAAAATGAAATGAAATCGAAGCCCGTCGAAATTGCCGGAGATATTGTCGATCATTGAAAATTACGGGTTTTCTTTGTATACGAATATTATAACTTAATATTTATTATAGCTGTACTAAAGAAAAAAGCTTTAAATATTTTATATAATCTTTAATTAATAATAAATATATAAAAGAAAAAAAATATGAATAACAGGCTGATTGTTTATACCCTACACAACTATGTTGTCAGGGTATTATAGCTTTGTGCAGCCCCAAAAGTTTGTAACGCAGCGAAATATTGGTCATAGACCCACCTTTAAGTATACCGATCGTCATATCTCGACTAGCTGAGTCGATCTAGACATGTGTTTCCGTCCATCCGTCCGTCCGTCTGTCCATTATAATTTGTAAACACGATACAGGTCACAGTTATGGAGCAATCTTCACGAAATTTTTCATGTAGGATGGGTTCTGGCCAATGAAGACCTCTATTGTTTTTGGGGAAAATCGGTTAATATTTAGGGGATGGAATGGACCAAATACTAAATTATTGTCGGTTTTTGTAATCGCTCCAGGGGCCGCAATAATGGCCCGAACATCGTGAAATTTTGCATGAAGAAGGGGATCGTACCAAAGAATAAGCATGCCGGTTTTGATAAAGATCGGTCAATATTTAGCGGGTCAAATGGACCTTGACTTTTGTGTGAAAAATTACAAAATTTGTATTTTATAGCGTATATATTTACCCCTGAAGGACATAAACCTGAGAAGTTGATATTATATCCAAGAGGAGTGGTTGACCTTTAAATTAATACCAATTATATTGTTGTATGTGCTCGGAGGTGGGAGTTACACCTAAATATTTACAGGTATCTCCGTATTTGTATATTATTTAGTAACCTATTATCACTCTAGAGAGCGGAATTATAGCGCAGATCGCTTTGAAATGTTCCATGAGGTTCCAATTATGGTCAAGGACGACGCCTATAATTTTCGGTGATGATCAGATAATTATTTTGGAATGAAGTGGGCCGAAAACTTTTTTTTGTGTTATTTTCGAGTCGATCTATAGACCACAAATGAAAGCCGAACATCACAACACAACCAACGGTGAAGGGAGTCTGGACAATAGCTGTACAGAATACTCGTAATATTCGGAAAATATGTCAGTGTGAGGAAGAGGTGCTGTTTACCTCTAATCGGGCAAGAGGGTGAAAATATCACGAAATATTTCCCAGGCTCGAAATAAACATCCGCAGAAAATTTGAGTTCCGTGGTAGTTGTGTAGGGTATCGTATGGTCGGCCCCGTCCGACTATACTCGTCCGCTCACTGATTTTATATTGGATTTATATTCGGCTGATCCATCGTTTAAAGTACTACCGAATAAATAATTATTCAAAAGGTAGTTGGCGCCTAAATGTATGCTTTAATAAATCGATTTTGAAATTAACATTTTTCCAACGACCCTCAAGGTGTGGATTTTTAGAAGAATATTTCTCCAACAACCCTAAAGGCGTGGATTTTTAAAAGAATATTTCTCCAACGACCCTCAAGGCGTTGATTTTTAAAAGAATATTTCTCCAATGACCCTCAAGGCGTGGATTTTTTAAATAATATTTCTTCAACGACCCTCAAGGAGTGAATCTTTAAAAGAATATTTTTCCAAGGACCAAAACAAGGCGCGAATCTTTAAACGAATATTTTTCCAAGGACCAAATCCAGGCGCGGATCTTTAAAAGAATATTTTTCCAAGGACCAGACCAAGACACGGATCTTTAAAAGAATATTTTTCCAAGGACCAAAACAAGGCGCGGATCTTTAAAAGAATATTTTTTCAAGGACCAAAACAAGGCGTGGATTTTCCAGAGAATATTTTAAAAGAATATTTTCCAAGGACTAAAACAAGAAAATTTTTAATTAAACACATTTTTGATTAATTTTTTTGTATTATTTTTATTAAATATTTAACCTCTAAAAATACCTAAAACCTATATCCCCCTCCTTCTATAACTCGTTGATCGAACAACCGTTGATTCGATGGCTGGACGCATACGACACATAGCTCCCATGCCATAGGGCCTACGTTTCATTGTACTCAAATAGAAAACCCCTTTCTTTCTCCTTGCCGGTTCGCCACCCATAAACACTTCTGCCGGACATTGTTTCGCCCCAGCTACACAACCACATTTCTGTTCAATAACATTTCTATAATTTTTACAACGAATTGCCCCAAAGGCATAAGGATTTCTCAAAGATTCCGTAAAATAATACAACGAACCAAAATGATCGCAGGCAAATTCCGGTTCAGTCCCCGTAACATTTGGACAATGTGGCTGCCCCAAACCCCAATTGGGAAAAAATGAAGCATGACCCAAATCACTACCCCTATAACCAAACAAGAGCGGTATCCGTTTGTATAGATTCCACATAGAGGGCGGCATCCGGGGTCAATCGCCATTCCTTGGCAATAGTTTGATGTATGGGTCCCGCGGTGTCCAGGGCATAGATGACACCATATTGAGATGGCTTCAGTAATTTTCCCGCTACCCCCGCCACATGACAACCATAACTGTGACCAATTAAATACATCTGTTCGAAGGGATAGTTGGTCGCCTTATGTAGAAATCGAGTGAAGACATTAATTTGTTCCGCAATATCGAACACTTCGGCTATCACGCGAAAATAATTCACATCCAGCGAGTAGTCACTGTAATCGACAAGTATGACATTAAAGTCTCCTATTTCCAAATAGGCATCTTTAATTGCTGCACTCGAGCATGTTGTTGTCATACCATTCCAACCGTGAATTGATATTCTGGAATTAATGAAAATCGAAAAAATTGACGTTAATATAAAATTTAATAAAAGAATGAAGAATATATTTTTCCAAGGACTAATAAGGCGTAGCTTTTTTAAGAATATTTCACAAAGGACCAAAAGAATATTTTTTCAAGGACTAAAAAGGCGAAGATTTGGTGGCGTAGGGGATAATAGATACCAAGCAACGGCTCTGATTGGCTTTAACAAGGCGAAGTTCAGGCTTAGCTTGGTCCTTCTTTCATCTCAATTGTGGTGCCACCTGGGGTAGCTATTTTCATCATCCGATGAAATAGTGAGCTAATATGTGGCGCGAGTTCACCCATAAGAACTATAAGAAAAGGATTGAGGCGTCGGGTTAGTTGCCCACACTCGGAAAACCGAGCCTACTATGAAAAAGCAAAGAAAAAGAAAACCAAACCCAGCCAATGCTGATGACCCCCGCAAGCGTATAAAGGACCACGATCTGCGAATCTGAACTTGGAATGTGCGCACGTTGTACAGAACAGATGCAGTGTTCGCTGGCGGATGTACTCAGTACAAAGTACGATATTATTGCCTTACAGGACATACGATGGAAAGGAACTGGCGTAAGTAAATCAGATTATTACGCCCTGTATTATAGCTGCCATGAAACGAGACGTGAATTTGGCTGCAGATTTATGGTTAACAAGATTCTCCAGATTCACTCCAGTAGATGAGCGAATTGCTATAATCCCTATAAAAGCGAAGTTCTTCTACATCAGTCTCATTTGCGTCCATGCTCCGACCGAAGATAAAAATGAACAGACCAAAGACATATTTTACGAGCGCCTAGAAACAGCATATGACCGTTGCCCTGGCCATGACATTAAAATTCTGCTAGTAGATTTTAATGCAAAAATCGGAAAGGAATTTATATTTGGTCGGAAAATTCAGCCTCCATGATGAAACATTAGACAACGGCATGAGGTTGATTAACTTCGCGGCAGCAAAAATATGGTAGTTAGCAGCACCAGATTCAACCATCTCGATATATACGGGGCCACTTGGATTTTTCCTGATCAAGCAACGAGAAATCATATTAACCATGTTGTGATAGACGGAAAGCATTCATAAAGTGTTTTAAACGTCCGATCGATCCGAGGAGCGAATATCGATTCGGATCATTACCTTGTGACAGCCAAGGTACGCACCTGTCTTAATGTAGCAGCAAAGGTGCGATCTAATGTAACACGGAAATTTGACGTCGAAAAGCTGCAAACACAACAGATAGCAGAAGCCTACTCCGCTCAACTTACCTAACTGCTTGACGAAAGCACCCACTGTCCCGATAATAATATATAAGCACAGCGGCAGAGAATTGCCCACTCCCTACAATCTGCAACAAAAGCAACACTTGGGTACCAAAGACCACCATCAAGAAATCCGTGGTAGGATCAAGAGTGTTGTAATGCTACTGATATGAAAAACGCAGCGTATAGGGCAACCCTGCGGACAGTAGCAACACGTAATACGATAGAGAACTATCGGGAGAAAAGGAGAGAGGAGAGCGTGAGCGTGAGCAAATCGAGATGTACAGGAGTCAGAATGAAGTCCGAAAAGTTCTGTAGAGATAAAGTAGGAAACCTGGTGACAGATACAGTCAGCGTGCTGAGGATCTGGAAGGAGCATTTTGTAATACTTCTGGTATCAAATGGTAGCAGTGAAGTGGATACCCCAGAACCAATAATAGATGACGGTATAGACAAGATGAAGTCTGAGTAGCAATCAATCGATTAAAGAATAAAAAAGCAGCAGGTGCCGATGGTTACAAGCCAAACTATTCAAGACTGGTGGTCAGATGCTGCTAAGGATCATGCACCAGCTGATTAGTACAATTTAGCTAGAAGAATGCATGCCCAATGATTGGAAACTCTGCATCCTGTGTCCCGTGCACAAAAAAGGAAATAAGACGATATGTGTTAACCATTGCATATAAAGTGCTATCCAGCATACTGTGTGAACAACTGAAGCCAATGGTCAATGACATTATTGGACCATACCAATGTGGCCTTAGGCCTGGCAAATTCACCATTGACCAGATTTTCACTCTGCGCCAAATCCTGGAAAAAAACCCACAAAAAACACATCGACACATTCCACCTATTCGTTGACGATAACACCGCATTCGACAGACCTATCCGTTCAGAGGTGTATAAAACCATGTCTGCGTTTGGCATTCCTGCAATATTAATTCGGCTATGCAGGATTATTCGTTGACGATAAAGCCGCATTCGACAGCCCTATCCGTTCAGAGGTGTATAAAGCCATGTCATGTAATTCGGCTATGCAGGATAACTTTAACAGGCACAAGGTCAGCAGTTAAAGTCGGAAAGGACCTCTCCGAGCCCTTCAATACCGAACGAGGATTCAGACAAGGTGACAGTTAGTCGTGTCCTGTAAGGCAAAAGTGAACAGAAATGACACTTTGTACACCAAAGAACACATGTTACTTGCCTAAGCCGATGACATCGACATAATGGGTCGAACATTGAGAGCGGTAACAGCCATCTTTGAACAAATTGAGAAGGAGTCTGCCAAAGTGGGTCTGGCAGTAAACGGCGAGAAGACCAAGCTGATGGTATCAACGCGCAAGACGTCCAGTAGACTCGGACCAACTGTGGAACTTGAGAAGTACAGCTTCGAGGTAGTCAAAAATTTTATATACCTTGTTGTTATACGAATCTGAAGCATGAGTACTTACGGAAGCAGATGAGCAAGCTCTTGGAGTGTTTGAGAGAAAAATTCTCCGAAAAATCTATGGGCCGATCTGGGTTGACGCTGTATATCGCCGTCGAATGAACCATGAGTAGAGATGGTATTTACCGGGTAAATACCCAAGGGGTGGGTAAATACCCATTTGCGGGTATTTATTTGGGTATTTACTATATTGAGTCGGTAATACAACATCTTACACCCAATTTCCGGGTTTCTGTTATCAAATCGATTTGGAATGGATAGTTTTATGATACTTTAAATACATGGGTAAATACCCGAGTTTTTACCGAAAAATACAACATCTTACATCCAAATTTCCGGGTTTCTGTTATCAAATCGATTTGGAATGGATAGGTACCCCCATATAAAGGTACCCCTAATTTGAGTATTAACCCAAAAATTGGACGCAAAATTTTGGCCGCCTATGTCAAGTGGTTCAGCAGTTAATGAGTTTATACCCAATTTTTGGGTAAAAACTCGGGTATTTACCCAAGTATTTACCCACGTCTCTAAAGTATCGTAAAACTATCCATTCTAAATCGATTTGATAACAGAAACCCGGAAATAGGGTGTAAGATGTTGTATTACCTAGAAAAGCGAACCAGCTGATGGTTCACGCAGAAGGGGAAGGCCAAGAATACGTTGGAAATATCAAGTCGAAGACAACATCGCCGAAAATGGACTTTCAAATTGGATAAACTTCGGACCGACGCGTCTGGAAATCTTTTCTAAGCTACGTATGTAAGTATAATTTTAATATTATTTTCCTTTATTTACAGTATTTTTCAAAATATTTCCGCATTTTTGCCACTATTCTCACCGCAAGCAAAAAAATCACGTTCGCTTCTTAAGTCTTTTGTTTCACAAGGAAACATGGACTCTTGCCATTGTAACCAGGTATTTAGACATTCAAAAAATTCTTGTTAATTTCAAAATATTGCGAGAATAATATAAGAAAACAAAATTGCAATATTCAAAATATGCTTTAATTAATGTTATTCGAAGCAAAATAAAAAAAAAAACAAAAAAGATTGCACTTTACAATTAAATTCGGAAATAACACACATCACAGCCCGACTATAATTACCGGCATAAAAAATAAATATAAAGTGTGTTATCACATAAAAAACAACAACAACATGTACAATATTTAAAAGTACTTGGAAGTTGTTGTTGTGATTGTTGTTCACACACAATGCCCCGCTATATATCACAAGCAAAAATGCTGCCAACAAAAGGGTAACTGTAAAACCCTACAGCAAATAAACGTCAAAACTATTAACACTTGACTTCCTCATATATTTCGTGTGGCTTCTCTTGTTTTATTACTTTTTAAATGGAACATTCACCGGCACCTCGAATGTAAACAGTTACCCCGAACACACTTCACTCACCTCACCGGCCATGTGGCATTAAAATTTGATTCATACAATCCCTTCTGATCGCCAGTCTTTAACACTTGCCGCACATAGGGATTCCGCCTGGTATACAAATCGAAACGAACATGTTTCTTTGCCGCTCGCAAATCTGGTATGAGCAACTGACGGGCCTCCTTTGTCACCAGTGTTGCTATGAAATCCACTGTCAATGGCTCACAATAGCCCAACTGGTTTTTAACAACAGCGACGTTGACACGAGCTGTAATGGCATGAAAGAAGGGAAATTATTATTTTTTTAATATGTTTGGAAATAGAGGGTTCTGTCGAAAAATATTTTGTCTAGTGGCCCCTAAAAATGTTCCTAAAAACAATTAAAATTATATTTTTTCAAGGGCTATATAAGGCGTGGATTTTTATACCATTCACCACATTGTAGTACAGGGTATTATGTCTTTGTGCATATGTTTGTAACAGGCAAAAGGAAACGAGATAGGCACATGGTTCCTTTTGAGAATATGCTTAGAATCACTTTTTAAGTCGATTTATGCATGTCCGTCCGTCTGTCTGTTCATGTTAAATTGTAAACAAAGTACAGGTCACATTTTTTATTCGAATTGGATGAAGTTTGGCACAGCTCATTTTTTTGGCCCAAGGACGAACCCTATTGAAATTGGGAAAAATCGGTTCAGATTCAGATATAGCTCCCATATATATTTTCGTCCGATTTTATGAAAATTGTGCACCAAAGACCCTATATATCCTTCGATTTCCACGAAATTTGGCATAACATTCTAAACTAAGTCTAGAATTATGTGTGTTAAATTTCTTGAAAATCGCTTCAGATTTAGATATAGCTCCCAACGACGTAAGCAGATGGGGGCCTTTGAATGGCGTTATTGCGTTGAAATTGATGCAGATGTAGCCATAGCTTCCATATGTATTTCGAACGGGTGTCTGATTGAGATTAAATTTTTAACAGTGCGACGTACCGAATAGCGGGATCAATTTTGCTATACATCGTTTTCCATAAATTTGTCTCATGGTACGCAGACGACTCTAAATATGTCCGAATAAAATTAAATTTATCATAGGTTGCAGAAAGACATGAGTATGTTCCTTCGAGGGAACATTGGCATGTTTTTTTTCATTTCAAGGACTTTAAAAAGAGTGGATTTTTAAATTTTTTTTATAAAAATCCACGCCTTGAAAAACCTTGGATAAATCTTCTTTAAAAAATCCGCGCCTTGAAAATCCTTGGATAAATCTTCTTTAAAAAATTCGCGCCTTGAAAATCCTTGGATAAATCTTCTTTAAAAAATCCGCGCCTTGAAAATCCTTGGATAAATCTTCTTTAAAAAATCCGCGCCATGAAAATCCTTGGGTAAATCTTCTTTAAAAAAACCGCACCTTGAAAATCCTTGGATAAATCTTCTTTAAAAAATCCGCGCCTTGAAAATCTTTGGATAAATCTTCTTTAAAAAATCCGCGCCTTGAAAATCCTTGGATAAATCTTCTTTAAAAAAGCCGCGCCTTGAAAATCCTTGGATAAATCTTCTTTAAAAAATCCGCGCCATGAAAATCCTTGGGTAAATCTTCTTTAAAAAAACCGCGCCTTGAAAATCCTTGGATAAATCTTCTTTAAAAAATCCGCGCCTTGAAAATCCTTGGATAAATCTTCTTTAAAAAATTCGCGCCTTGAAAATCCTTGGATAAATCTTCTTTAAAAAATCCGCGCCTTGAAAATCCTTGGATAAATCTTCTTTAAAAAATCCGCGCCTTGAAAATCCTTTGATAAATCTTCTTTACCACGCCTTGGAAATCCTTGGAAAAATATTCTTTTAAAAAATCCACGAACTGAAAACTCATGGAAAATATTCTATTAAAAATCCACGCTTTGTTGGATGGACCAGCAACGTACACAGGATTTAATTTCGGGGGGGCCCGGTAGTACAAAATGAAAAAATTCGCTGTTGCAAACTTTACTGTGAAAAAAATTCATTTGGGGGGGGGCCTGGAAAATTTTTCCCTAAAAAATCCATCCTTGATGGACCTTGAACAAATATTCTTTAAAAAATCCACGCCTTGTATCGTTTATTCCTTAATAAAATATTTAACTGACGTCACTTCTACCTTCCAAAATTGTAGTTTCTACTAAAAACAACAACAAAACACATTTGAAGTTTAATAATATCATATCTTAATATTAATTATGAAGGCGGGATACTTTTATTTTAATTACGGGCAAACATATATTTTTTCACTTCATTTGTTTTTAAAATTTTCAGTTGACCGCATTTTTATGAAATAATATTCAAATTTATAGAACACAACTGTAGAGTTTAAGTGATGAACAAAAACTGAGATATAGATGATAATGACGATGTTAAAAACCGCTTACACTTAACCCAGAAAAAATTTAAACTTGAGCTGATCTAAGTCATTTGTTTAATTATGAGGTTATTAGCATGCAACTTAATATATTTAAGTCGTATTCACTTAGAATTTAAATATTATTTTTTATAATAATTTTTTTATTTTAAATACCAACCCCAACACATTGTCATGCAAATCACTATGAAAATTAAACACAATCGCTTCAACATTTTGTTTTTCGATTCGATTTTTGTAAAATTTTCAAACTTGAGTTAATTTGTTGGCTAGCGTGTGCGTATGTTAACCCGGCAATGTCCTGTCGATAACTAACCTTGCCACTGGAATAGAACAAAAGATTTATAAGATTTCGGATTCTTAAATGAAGCAAGAACTTCAACATCAACAACAACGGCAATAAACAAATAAACGCAATACGATCAGTGACTAGAACTTGAAACAATGAATTGTGGAAGAGTTTCGCTTTTTTTGTTCAGAGAATCAGAGCAAGGTCATCTTCCCTATAGATAGCAAATACGTGAAGAACAGACAACTCAGTGCGTTATGTGGTTAATTGTTGAAAGGATGAGCTGGAAGATTAGTTGGAAGAGGAGGGTCGGAGTCTTACTGTATCAGATTTATTTCATTTTTAAATAAAATGTTTCTTAATGAAAACATTCGAAATGTGTTAATTAGGATACGAAATAAAAAATATATAATTCACAGTTTTGTATTTTTCTTACGTAATTACTGTAATTATGAACACAATAAAGTAAAACGTCAGATTAGAGAATTACGTTTGTCTGTTGAAATCACGATTGATATTGCAATCTTTGAGATATGTCTTTGGGATTTTGTTCATACCTTGCTACCACCACTAGGATGTTTGGTATTACAAAAGGGTCCACTTTTTTGTACAGCCTCCTATAAAGGTATCACAAATATTCAGCATTTTTGAGGCAAGTTTTTCGATAAAACTGGTGGTAATTTATTTTTTTTTAAATTGCCTTCTCATTGGGCGCAGGTCCAATATACGATTCTACCGCATTATTGTGAATTTTTTGGTATTTTGGCAAGTCCCCACCATGTAACGATACTCGCCATTTTTAGGTATTTAGGGTAGATTTTGGGAATTTTCAAAGATAAAGCTACCGATTTTTTATATGTTGAAGGTATTAACCACATTAAGATCCCGCTCCAGTAAACTTTCTTCTCATATGTTTTGGTAAAACTCCAATAGACCAGTTCGGAAAGTTCTTATCCAAGCACAAAAAGCAGAAAAATTTTAAGTGTTTTGGAAACTTCCATCTCTGTTATGAACACATGTTCTGATCTGGCAACTCCTTTATATAGAAACAGGTATTAGAAAAAAAACCGCTTCCGCAACCGCAATTTTTTACAATGGTCATTTTTTATTATAAACCAGTAGGGAAAGCAGTAAAGTCAGACGGGGCCGACTATAAGATACCCTTCACCACTTTGGGTATATCCAACAGATGAAACCTAAAAGACGTCGATTTTTTAAAGGACCAGGGACAAAATTATGAAAATCAATTATAAGCATATATATATAAGCTATATCAAAATCTAATCCGATTTGAACTAAACTTGCCACACGTTATGTTATAGTAACTTCAGTACCTAGAGCAAAATTTTGTCCCGATTGGACCCACCATGGTAAAGCATTTAAAACCAACTTCTAGGTTATTCTAACTCCAGTACGTTGTGAAAAGTGTGTGCCAATTTTGTGTAAAATAGGATGACACCATATACATTATATCGGACGAAAATATATATGGGAGCTAGATCTAAATCAGGTCCGATTTTCAGGAAACTTAACATATATCATTCTAGACTTAATTCATTACGCGATGCCATATTTCGTGCAAATCGAAAGATATCTAGGGACTTTAATACACCATTTACATAAAATCGGACGAAAATATATATGGGGGCAATATCGAAATCTGAACCGATTTTCAGGAATCTTAACACACATCATATTAGAGCTAATTCATTGCGCTATGCCAAATTTCGTGCAAATCGAAAGATATATGGAGACTTCGGTATACCATTTACATAAAATCGAACGAAAATATATATGGGAGCTATATATAAATCTGGACCGATTTTCAGTTACTCTCCGCAGGCACTTACAATGAAAATATAGGAAACATACCATACCTATACCGATATTTCTACAAACCGATTTATGTAAACCATTTAGTACACCAAATACAAATTTCAGAAATTTTTAATGGGGATTTTTCCAAAAAACTGAAACCCCCAAAAGGCGACTTATACTGATAACTACTGCCATTTAGATTGTCTATACCTAAAGGGGAACCAATATTAATTACATAGTGTAGGAATTAGCGAATATATGTGGTTATCTTATATGAGGGCTATGTCTAATTAATGACCGATATACGTCAATTTCGAACCCAATATTTTAATTTTGTATTTCAATTCTTTCCTTCAGGAGGTATCATTGTATGGAGGAGATGCCTAAATGCTGGCCGATATATTTCATAATCGCCATGTTCGGGTTTTTAATACGATATCTAGAATGATTACAATAGATGGCCAAATCGTCTTAGAACTCCATACTTTGTGGAGTAAAAACTGACTATTTCGAGTAACGACTGTCCCCCACACTATGGTAGAATACGCCTATATGGTGACAACCCCAATACCAATACTACAAAATACCAAATTACATCGAATTCGAAGAGTACTAAATTACAGCCAATTCGATAGAAAAATGCGATCAAAACCCCCAAAATACTGAAAATTGAGGGGTACCGTTGTATGGAGGCTACCAGAAAAAGAGGATAGATATTTATAATTTTTAGTGACCCCAAAATACCGAAAATAGGGGGGTGGGCGGGGGCTACCCATATATGTGAGCTAAACCTAAACGTGGACCGATATAGCCCAGACAAAAGACAACTCTGTGCAACATTTTGGAACAATTCGGTTAGACGTTAGAGTGATTACAACAGACGGACATGCTTAGATCGTCTTAGAACGTTTTACGTCGATCAAGAATATATATAGTTTATAGGGTCGGAAATGATTATTTCGATGAGGTACAAACAAAATTAATATACCCTCTATACTATGGTGGAGGGTATAAAAATCTCCGGCGTTATCTGTGTCAATTATGTTTCGCATTTGATCTTCGCACCCTCATGTATATGGTGAACTGTTTCATAAGGCCTGGATATACCTCCTTAGTCATTACACAGACACTTGTCTTATCGTTGCATAAGAGGTCAACAAAGTAATTTTATTTAGACCACAAGTATTGCCGGTCAGTGGTGTATTCCTTCGTCTTGTATCACAATCCCAAGACGGACAAAAACAATAAATATAATAAACTTTAATCATTTATGAGCCGATGACTGTAATTTTCCATTTAAAATCAGGTTTAATGTGAACGAAACGTTATTTCCATGTTTTGTTTACAATTATTTACATCCATAAATAATGTGCGGTCCTCTTCACATCCTCACATTTTTGTTCAATTGATGAGTCTCATTATACTGACCTGCCTACCTACAACTTATTTTAGTCTATGTATCACTTTTAAAAGTAAATAATATGTTATTAAATACTAGTTGGTCGGCAACATCGCGACTACGTCATATGCAAAGGGCAATGCACTTCATAGTATAATAGTGTTGAGGGCAACAGTGACCTAAGATCAGCATACTACGTATGAAATGAAATTCATTCATAAGATTCTGTTTTGAGAATTTTGGAACAATGAGCAGATATTTTCTTATGCAGGACCTAGCCTTTAATTATGAAAGTTATTTTTCGTTTTTTGTTTAATTTTATAAATATTATAATAATTATGAAATATAATTATATGAAAATAATCAATATCATTCTTTTCAGTTGATATTGTTTGTGGAATCTTACCACCACATCTTTAACAATCTGCCTTGCCCGACGTGTATCTCATTTCAGATACCTTAACTACACTACTGCCCATTCCAGTTCTTTATTCCAATGTGAGGACATGATTACTTGTTATACCCTTCACCACACTGTGGTACAGGGTATTATGTCTTTGTGCATATGTTTGTAACAGGCAAAAATAATCGAGATAGACCCATGGTTCCTTTTGAGAATATGCATAGAATCACTTTCTGAGTCGATTTACGCATGTCCGTCTGTCCGTCCGTCCGTCCGTCTGTCCATGTTAAATTGTAAACAAAGTACAGGTCGCATTTATGATCCGAATTGGATGAAATTTGGCATAGGTCACTTATTTGGCCCAAGGACGAACCCTATTGAAATTGGGAAAAATCGGTTCAGATTTAGATATAGCTCCCATATATATATTTAACCGATTTAATGTAAACAGTCCCTATATAACTTTCGATTTGCACGAAATTTAGTACAGCCTAATCATTTAGGTCTAGAATGATGTCTGCCAAGTTTCGTGAAAATCGGTCCAGATTTAGATATAGCTCCCATATATAGTTTCGTCCGATTTCATGTAAATGGTGCCCCAAAGTCCCTATATATCTTTTGATTTGCACGAAATTTGGCATAACGTACTGAATTAAGCCTAGAGTGATGTCTGCCAAGTTTCGTGAAAATCGGTCCAGATTTAGATATAGCTCCCATATATAGTTTCGTCCGATTTCATGTAAATGGTGCCCCAAAGTCTCTATATATCTTTCGATTTGCACGAAATTTGGCATAACGTACTGAATTGAGTCTAGAATGGTGTCTGCCCTTTCAAGAAAATCGGTCCAGATTTAGATATAGCTCCCATATATAGTTTCGTCCGATTTCATGTAAATGGTGCCCCAAAGTCCCTATATATCCTTCGATTTGCACGAAATTTGGCATAACGTACTTAATTGGGCCTAGAATGATGTCTGCCAAGTTTCATGAAAATCGGTCCCGATTTAGATATAGCTCACATATATAGTTTCGTCCGATTTAATGTAAATGGGGCCCCAAAGTCCCTATATATCTTTCGATTAGCACGAAATTTGGTACAGCCTAATCATTTAGGTCTAGAATGATGTCTGCCAAGCTCCGTGAAAATCGGTCAAGATTTAGATATAGCTACCATATATAGTTTCGTCCGATTTCATGTAAATTGTGACCAAAATCCATATATATCTTTCGATTTGCACGAAATTTGGCATAACGTACTGAATTGAACCTAGAGTTATGTCTGCCAAGTTTCGTGAAAATCAGTCCAGATTTAGATATAGCTCCCATATATAGTTTCGTCCGATTTCATGTAAATTGTGCACCAACATCCATATATATCTTTCGATTTGCCCGAAATTTTGCACAACGTACTGAATTGAGCCTAGAGTGATGTCTGCCAAGTTTCGATAAAATCGGTCCATATTTCTATATAGCTCCCACATATAGTTTCGTCCGATTTCATGTAAATGGTTCACCAAAGTCGCTATATATCTTTCGATTTGCACGAAATTTGGCATAACGTACTGAATTGAGCCTAGAGTGATGTCTGCCTTGTTTCGTGAAAATCGGTCCAGATTTAGATATAGCTCCATTTTATTATAGATTGATTTTATGTAATTGACGCACCAAGGAACCAATAGGAACAAAACGTTCTAAAGTTAGTATAACCTAACCTGTGACAAGTTTGTTTGAAATCGCTTAATATGTGGATATAGCTTACATATATTTTTTCGCCCGATATCAAGCAAATTGGGCATCATACTCCTCATGTTAGTCAGATTGACATCAAATTTTGCACAACGTACAAAATTGAGCATAGAATTACGTAGTTGCGTTTTCTAGAAGTACAGACATAGTCAACCGGATGACCTATTTATATTTGTTTGAAGTCGATTTACACACTTTATGGACAAATCTAGGTAGATTCACATTTAGATAAATATCACATATTTTATTTCATCCAATTTCATGTTAATAGTCCTGTTTAATGTACCCATAGTGGTGAAGGGTATCCTAGAGTCGGCCCCGTCCGACTTTACTACTTTCCTTACTGGTTTTTTTTTATTGTATTGATTTTAATGGCTACACATCTCAATAATGCGATTCCACTAAAATAGTGATAAATGACAATTGCAACTGAACTTGTTTTTCCTTGTTCTATAAATGATCCAGTAATTTTCCTTTCACTTCTAGGACAGAACAAAATTGCCACCCAGGAATTTTTGTAAACCCATGTATAATAGGGTGTAGTATATATTAAATTTGTCATTATATATATATATATATATAATACATTATAAATTATATATATTCTTGATCAGAATAAACGTCTATGTCGATGCCTAGCTTGCGCATCCATCCGTTTTTCTTTTAACATCGCGTTAAAGATCGCAATATTTGAAGTAGCTTGGAAATTTTGTTTCGTTTTCAAAATCGATCAACGTTTTGGAATAGACCCTATATAAAAGTCCCACTTCGTTTAAAGATTTTATGGTCCTATGGTATTTTGGCTTCCGGCTATTGGTGGATAAAAAACTTCTCTGTGGACAATTTTTAATAAGGGTATATGATTTGACTGTGTTTTGATATACAGGTTCCTCCATATGTATTTTTATTGTTTCCAACAAAAGAAGCAGCAATTTGACATTCTTGGCTCTGGGTCCAATCTAAAAATGTTGCTATATTTTTATTATCCTCCACGCCTTTTTTAATGGAAATAGATGTAATATGAAAATGCTGGTGGCAACATCATCGCAAAAAATCTCCCAAGGTTTGACATAATTCCAATTTAAGGTCTCTCACCCCTTTGGGTAACTGCATTATCCGACCTGTTGCTTTTTGGGTCTATAATTTGGTACTTCGAATAAAAACTCTCCTGGACACGTATAAGGTTTCAAAACGGTTTATTATTATTATTTCAATTGATCAAATGTCGACTATATGGTGAAGTGTATATTAAATTTGCTTTCCGCTTCCAATATTCACCGATGACCCCATAAAGTACATATATTCTTGACCAGAATATAATTGGTAAAGCCCCGATAACCTTCCCTCCCAAATTTGGTATTTTTAAGTTTTTGGACAGTTTTTTACACAAATTGGCTGTAAATTGGAATTTTGATTCTCATTTGGTCCTCCAAAAGTATCCTCCAAATTTTTGAGTTTTCTGACCATGTTTTCAAAGAACATGACAGTAATTTTTTTTCTTACTAGTCTATGCCCGCAACTTCGTTAGCGAGTATAAGATTAAAAATGTCTAAATATATAGTTTAGTTTTTACAAAAAACTACCTATTTCGGAAGTGCTAATCAACATACACACCAATATAGATCATAATTAAAATTTTAGTACCAGTTGTTCTCTTATAGTACGTATTTCCAAAACTACATGATTCGAGCTCTATACGTTCTTAATTTTACCAAATTTAGTACCATTTAGTACACATTAATATAAATCCAATAGAATTCATACTTGCAACCCGATCGCTTTACCCAAATATAATTGCACCAAATTTAGTACCATTTAGAACATATTAGAATTAATTTCCAAAACGTCTTACATAGTCAATTCCTACACCCAAACAGTGATCCTAACTTCAAATTCAAGATTGCAGCTCTATCGGTTCACCCAAATCCACATTTGATACCATTTAGTACTCAAAATAAAAAAATTTACAAAACTTCCTACATATCTCAATCCTAAAACCCAACAATGATCCTAACTCCGAATTTCAAGATCCCAGCTCTATCGGTTCACCCAAAATTTAAATTGTACCAATAATTATAAATTTCCAAAACTACATCCATACCGCAATTCTACACTCCAACAGTAACCTTATTTCCAAATGTCACTGTTCCAGCTCTATGGGTTCACTTAAAAAAATTGGACAAAAATTTCCCAGGCATCCCAAATTTCAGTGTTCCAGCTCTATCTGTTCACCCAAATCCAAATTTTACCAAATATTGTACTATTCAGTATTTATACCCTTCACCACACTGTGGTACAGGGTATTATGTCTTTGTGCATATGTTTGTAACAGGCAAAAATAATCGAGATAGACCCATGGTTCCTTTTGAGAATATGCATAGAATCACTTTCTGAGTCGATTTACGCATGTCCGTCTGTCCGTCCGTCCGTCCGTCCGTCCGTCCGTCTGTCCATGTTAAATTGTAAACAAAGTACAGGTCGCATTTATGATCCGAATTGGATGAAATTTGGCATAGGTCACTTATTTGGCCCAAGGACGAACCCTATTGAAATTGGGAAAAATCGGTTCAGATTTAGATATAGCTCCCATATATATATTTAACCGATTTAATGTAAACAGTCCCTATATAACTTTCGATTTGCACGAAATTTAGTACAGCCTAATCATTTAGGTCTAGAATGATGTCTGCCAAGTTTCGTGAAAATCGGTCCAGATTTAGATATAGCTCCCATATATAGTTTCGTCCGATTTCATGTAAATGGTGCCCCAAAGTCCCTATATATCTTTTGATTTGCACGAAATTTGGCATAACGTACTGAATTAAGCCTAGAGTGATGTCTGCCAAGTTTCGTGAAAATCGGTCCAGATTTAGATATAGCTCCCATATATAGTTTCGTCCGATTTCATGTAAATGGTGCCCCAAAGTCTCTATATATCTTTCGATTTGCACGAAATTTGGCATAACGTACTGAATTGAGTCTAGAATGGTGTCTGCCCTTTTTCAAGAAAATCGGTCCAGATTTAGATATAGCTCCCATATATAGTTTCGTCCGATTTCATGTAAATGGTGCCCCAAAGTCCCTATATATCCTTCGATTTGCACGAAATTTGGCATAACGTACTTAATTGGGCCTAGAATGATGTCTGCCAAGTTTCATGAAAATCGGTCCCGATTTAGATATAGCTCACATATATAGTTTCGTCCGATTTAATGTAAATGGGGCCCCAAAGTCCCTATATATCTTTCGATTAGCACGAAATTTGGTACAGCCTAATCATTTAGGTCTAGAATGATGTCTGCCAAGCTCCGTGAAAATCGGTCAAGATTT